TAAGCCACTTGCAAAATGGATAATTAGAAGCTAATCACACCTTAAATGCCTTAGTACATTTTTGTTTATTGTTATATTCAAGCCATAAACTATTCATACATGAAAGTGAAATGGACTAAATATTAAATTGTAGAGTATCTAGTATAATAACTTTTGGAGGACAGACCATAGTAAGGCATTTTATTCAGTTTATCATAAAAATGATACCAAATATTCAAGTAATACTTTGCCTTTAAAAGAAAACAGGAACAAAGAAATAACAAGTACATATTAATACCTGGATATAAACTTAAAACCAGGTGCTGGTTGCTCAAGCCTATAATAGCTCAAAACCATCCTGGGCAGGAAAAGCCAGGAGACTTATCTCAGTTAACCACCAGAAAACTGAAAATGATGCTGTGATTCAAAGTGGTAGTTCTAGCCTTGAGCAAAAGAGCTCATGGAGAGTACCCACACCCCAAGTTCAAGCCCCATGACTGACCAAAAAAAAAAAGTTGAATGATCACAATTGTTTTTCTTCCTCAACAAAATAATAAATTGCTGTATGACGAGCTGTCAGTCATATTCTGTCACCTTGAGTATTTAGAGACATGTGCCATCCAAGGTGATTTGTGTACATATAAAAGTACTGTTCTGAAATGTCTTTGCCATTTCTCAACTTTGGTTTGCCCACGAATGCCAAGAAACTTTCAGATAGTAGATGTGTAGAGGCCAGTGTGATTATCCATGACTGCTAAAGTCTACTGTGAATGTGCCAAAAATATTCCATTTTTGAAAAGTGACATGAAGTTGGCATTATTGCTGAGCTTTAGATGACCTGCCTCTGACATACAATGTGATGAGTTTGAGCCTAATGGGGGTGAGGTAAACTGAAAGAACTATATGCTTTAGGCTTTATGAACCTTGGACTTCTCTGAACGAGGATGTAACAAGTTAATGCCATGAAAGAGAGTGCCCTCAGTTTATACTTTTCCCACCTACTTTTCCTGCCACACAAACCTTTTTTTTTTTAAGTGGCTAGGGATTGGTGAGCCTTGTATCACAGAGCCCAACTCTCCATACACCCATTCAATACTATTAATTCTTGCTACAATCATAATCATATATATGTTAAGCTTATTAAATCCTTATCTTACAAAACAGTAGTACCTTTTATGTAGTTGTATTCTCTAAGACCCTCAAATCTACTTGAATTTTTTTTATCTGTATTTTTTTGTCTTTTCTTTTCTTTTTTTGGGGGGGGGTACTGGGGATCGAACCCAGGACGTTGCACTTGCTAGGCAAGCGCTTTACCACTGAGCTACATCCCAGCCCAAAGGTGTAGCCCAGACTGGTCTTGAACTCGTGATCCTCCTGCCTCATCCTCCTAGTTGATTACCGGCGTGCGCCACCACGGCCAGCTTGAATTTTTTTTTCAGGTGGGCACAGTTGTTCATCCTAGCTACTTAACCTAGTAGTGGTCATCCTAGCTACTTGAGAGGCTGAGGTGAAAGGATTGTATTTCAGTGCCAGGCCAGGCATAAAAGGTATGTAGACTCCATGTCATTCGATGGCTGGGCAAAGTGGCACATACCTGTCATCCTCAGTAACAAAAGAAAGCACAAATAGGATTAAATCCTAGGCTGGCTCAGGCATCAAGTGTGAACCTAAAGAAAGGGACTGAAGCCAGATGCGGGTGCCTCATGCCTGTAATCCTAGCTACCCAGGAGGCTGAGATCTGAGGATTACGGTTCAAAGCCAGCCCAGGCAGGAATATCCCTGAGACTCTTATCTCCACTTAACCACCAGAAAACTGGAAGTGGCACCATGGCTCAAGAGTAGAGTGCTCACCTTGAGCTGAAGAACGCAGGGACAGCGCCCAAGCCCAGAGTTCAAGCCCCATGACCTACCCAAAAAAACAAGAATCAGGCTTAACACAAATAGTAATATTTGTTTATGCTGTTTTCTTCCTAAATTATTTTTCTCCTATTTTCCCCAATATTTTTCGATAATGGTTTTAATTTATGATATTTAATAGAGAAGAATTCTAAAATATCTTTCAGATAAGATCATGAAAACTTTAAAAATTATTTCTACTAGTAAAATTATAAGGCATTTATCTTCATTAAGTTATTGTAATAAATTTGAAGTAGGCCTATGTCAGCCAAATGCTGATGGTAAAACCTGTAATCCTAGAAAAGGCTGAGGTTGAGGTTCTAAGCCAGCTCCAGCCGAAATGTCCTCAGGATTCTTACCTGCAATTTAACCAGTTTAAAAAAAAAAGCTGGGGGCTGGAGGTGTGGCTACATGTTAGAGTGCCTGCCTAACAAACTTAAGGCCTTGAGTTCTAACCCCAGTACCACCAAAAAAAGAAAAATTTAAAAAAAAAGCTGGGTCAAGAACTGGTGGCTCATGCATATAATCCTAGCTACTTGGGAGACTTGCGATCTGAGGATCGTGGGTCAAAGCCAGCCTGGGCAGAAAAGTTGGTGAGACTCTTATCCCCAATTAACCACTCAAAAACTAGAAGTGGCACTGTGGCTCAAGTGGTAGGGACTACTATTGTACAGCGCCCAGGCCCTGAGTTCAAGCCCCACAACCTAGTTTGGAGGTATGCCCTAAGTTGTACATCACCATTTGGAAGCAAAAACAGCCAAGCAGGAGCAAGAAGCCCCAAGTTCAATCCCTGGGACTAAGACAGAAAAAATCAACCTATGTAAACAGCTTACAGTGGCAGCAGCACACAATTAATGTGCTATGCTCTGATTGATGGCTTCCACCAGTAGTACGATGTAGCTGAGACCTGGAGGATCATGGTTCAGCAGCCCAGGCTAAAGAGTCCCGGAGACTGTAGCTCTTTAATCTTGGATTCTTTTTATTACCTTGAAAAAAATTAAGAGTAATAAAGCCATTCTGTAAGCGTATTTCTTACAGATTTTGGGTGACTTCCTTGAAAGTGTGTGGTTTATTTTATAAGTTACACTTACTTAATTTATTGGGAAAGGAAGAAACCCTATCCTGGGTAAAATTCTTTTTTGTAGATGGGACTGTGAATCACTATTTTAGAACTAAAAAATGTAAGCTTTTTAAAAGCCCAAAGCAGTTTTAAAGCATTATTAGACAACTGCCAAACAGTAGATGCATCACAGGTTGGGTGTTAGAAGCTGACAGAATATATTGAAGACCTGCCTAGATGTAGTTGACATAAGGTAGGAGTAAAACATTAGCGTACTTATAAAATTTTGAAACCAGGTTAAATACTTGAGTGTATATGGTAGCATTATGCCATCTGTTTTTAGCATGAAATAATAATCAAAATAGCCTTTGAAAGAAGAAATACAATTGATGTGTAAAAACCACATTAGAACGATAAACTAAACACTCCTACAAAATGAGCAGAGGTAGAGAATACCATATTAGAAGAACCAAATGATGACCAGCCGTTAAAAATTCAGAATTATATGCACAGAAATAATAGGATCTAGAAGTATCTACGACTGAATTAAAGCTTACACTTTGAACATCTGTGGTACTGAAATAGTTACACAGAACTAGAACAAACATGAGGACTTGTTAGTGATACTGTTAACAAGTCATTCTAGAATAATACCTTTCGCAGTTGATGTTACATTATTTATTGTCTTTTTATTGTCACTCAGTAGATATTTATTGCGTACCTACATACAATCTGGCAGACATCTTTCTAGGCACTAAGTATCTAGCATGTGATCTGATTGATGGCTTTTACATTGGGGCCAATGACACAGATGTATTCAGACAAACAATATACTGTATAATGAATGTGAGGAAGAAAAATGTAGGATAATAGAGACAAGGATGAAAGAAGAATGCTCTTAACAGTTTGAAACTTCAGGATTAAAACTTGTGCTGCTCCTTGTCCTTAGAGTTCCTTTTTACTTTTAATATCTATATAGCTTTGCACTGACAGTGTGTCCTTTGGATCATCTCTACCCAGTGGCCTGACTGTAGCATTACTTTTATGTTGAGTTGGTATATAATAGCAAAAAGCTGATAATGGATTTATTTTCCCTACTAAAGCTGCATTTTATAATGTCTTTATATTTTTCTTTTTTAAAAGGACACTGTCAAGTTCTTTTAAACTGTTATTACAATGAAAATAATTCCTACTTGATTTTTTTTGGTTTAGTTTCTATTGACTGCCCTTTAATTTTTTTAGTAGAGTAATATGTAAGCTCGAGGTTTTTTTTAATTCATTTGCCCTAATTGATTAAGGCTCCTGGAATAACTTATGTATAGTTTCTAATCTGCAAAATAGTAGAACATTTTTACTTAATTTTAAAGGCTTTAAAAATCTATAACAGACTTAGTGTGGGTTTTTGTTCATGTTTGAAAGATGAATGAGTTCACTTAGAAAAGTTTGCCTTAACCTAAAAACATACATGGCAGTGTATTTTTTTTAACAACAAAGAAAAAAAAAAACCTCGTTTCCATTTCCTAGAGTTTATTTGGCAGTATATTTTTCAGGTAGTCTGAACTGGCAGTGTTAATCTATAAACACTGCAAATAAAGTTTCCCCCATGTTGGTAAGGATCAAACCCAGAACCGATCCATCCGAGTAAACTGCTCTATCACTAAGTTACATCCTCAGCCTGCAAATGAATTTTATTCAGACAGTTTCAGTGGATTCAAATCTAAATTTACTAGCCACTTATAATAATGTGCTTGCTTGTCAGTGTAACAAAGTTTTGTTGGTTATTTTAGGATTCTGGTATTGAAATGAGTAAGACATTAGATCCTTTAATTACTTTTTATCTAAGTTTCCAGGAACAAATATGAAGTTATTTTTCTAGTGCTTTTTTTTTCTTTTTAGTAACAGCTACATACATTAAGTATGTGTGTGAGATGTTTCCTTCCGAGTTCACTTTTCTGTCACAAAAATAGAAATTAATGGGGAAAATACTTTGTTACTGACTGCATTTGTGACTCTTGAGAGTAACTTCATGAAAAAATGCTTACTAAGCATAGCTGCTTTGTTCTAGGAGGACTGACAAATGGTAGTGGTCGATATATCTCTGCAGCACCTGGAGCAGAAGCAAAATATCGAAGTGCTTCAAACACTTCCAGTTTATTTAGCTCCAGCAGCCAGCTCTTTCCTCCATCTCGGCTTCGGTATAATAGGTCTGATATTATGCCTTCTGGCCGAAGTAGATTATTAGAAGACTTCAGAAACAACCGCTTCCCAAACCTTCAACTTAGAGACTTGATTGGACATATTGTTGAGTTTTCTCAAGACCAGCATGGTTCAAGGTAAGTAATAATGATCCATAATCTATTTTACCTGTTTTTCATTTTTGCTTTACTAGGGGTGAGGGGAGCAGTGGTAATTGAATTCTGGGCCTCCCTCACTCAAGCTTAGTAGGCAGATGCTCTACCCTGGAGCCGTACCTCCTGCACCTAAGCTTGCCTGTTCTGAGATAGGAACTCGCTTTATGCTGAGGCTGGCATACATTCATGACTGTACTCACTCAGCCATTAGTTGAGAATGGAATCTCTTGAATTTTTCTTCGACCAGATGGCCTTGAACCGAGATCCTCCTGTTTGTGTCTCACAAGTAACCAGGATAATGGCTTGAGCCATAGTGAATGGCCCCCTTTTTTCCTTTGAAAATTGCTACTATATATTTTACTTACACATATGCTCAGCTAATAATCTACATTAATATTGGAAGCTTTTTTTTTTTTTTTTGTCAGTCGTGGGGCTTGAACTCTGGGCCTGGGCATTATCCCTGTGCTCTTCAGTTCAAGGTGAGCGCTCTACTGCTTGAGGCACAGCGCCACTTCCAGTTTTCTAGTGGTTTATTGGAGATAAGAGTCTCACAGACTTTTCTGCCGGGGCTGGCTTTGAACTGTGATCCTCAGATCTCAGCCTCCTGAGTAACAAGGATTACAGATATGAGCTACCAGTGCCTGGCTGCAATATCTTTTTATTCAGTATTTTTATTACATCAGCTCTGAATTTTATCTGTAAACTTATTAGTGTCTCTGATGGGTAGTTTGTGTTCAATTTTAAAAGAAAAAGGGGGGCAAAGGGGATAGCACAAGTTGGGCACCAGTAGTTCACATCTATAATCCTAGCTACTCAGGAGGCTGAGATCTGAGAATTGCAGTTCAGAACCAGCCTAGGCAGTTAACTACCAGAAAACTGGAAGTGGTACTGAGGCTCAAAATGGTAAAACACTAGCCTTGAGCAAAAGAACTCAAGGACTGTTCCCAGGCCTGGAGTTCAAGCCCCACAGCAGCCAGAAGTTTAAATTGTTCTTCAAAAAAGCGAAATACTTCTGTTTACATTATTACATTATTAGATTAGTTTTCAGTGTGGTTTGATTTAAATTTAAAATCCCCCCCCCTTTTTTTTTTGCAATGACCTGCAGGTCTTTATTCTAGAAAAAATTTCACATTTTTATAGGAAAATTTGGTATATATTTACATTAAGTATGTTGGGGACATTTTGCTTTTGTTCCTGACTTTAATGGAGATTGTTTCACATTTTCCCTGTTTATCATGGGTTTGGTTATAGGTTTGCCATACATACTCTTCTGTATATTCAGGTATGTTTTTCTATTCCTTGTTAATTCATGAAAGGATGTTGAATTTTCTCAAAGACTTTCTCTATACCTCTTAAGTTCATGAGGTTTTGTCCTTGATTCTGTTCATGTGTTATACATGTTTATTGAATTTTTTTTGCGGGGGAGTCCAGTCATGGGGCCTGAACTCTGGGCCTGGGCATTGTCCCTCAGCTCTTCAGCTCAAGGCTAGCACTCTACCACTTGAGCCACAGCGCCACTTCTGGCTTTTTTCTTTTTGCTTATGTGGTGCTGAGGAATCGAACCCAGGGCCTCATGCATGCAAGGCAAGCGTTTTACCACTGAGCCACCTTCCCAGCCCATGTTTATTGAATTTAACCATCTTAAACAGCTGGGCACTGGTGACTCAACACCTGTAATCCTAGCTACTCAGGAGGCTGGGATCTGAGTGTTGTGGTTCAAGCCAGCCTAGGCAAGAAAATCGCGACTACTTTCTCTAATTAACCACCTGAAAACCGGAAATGGTGTTCTACCTCATTCAAAGTGTGGAGCTCTATCTTTGAGCAAAAGTGCAAGTTTTATTTTTTTTAAATAGTTGCATATAGATTTTATCTCTCTTTAGCCAGAAGTTTTAAAGAGTACAAATGAACTTAAATCTATCACTAAGATTAGCTAATCTAGAAATTCGTGCTTAATGATTTCTTATGTTCCTAAAATATGGTAATTTGTATATTTTTGAATAACCAAGTAATTTCCTTTTCATGTAATATAACAATATATTCTAGTCTCTTGCACAGAGTTTTTGTCACATACTAGTAATTTTATGTTAGATGTTAGAAATGCTTTGTGGCTTTTCTCTGTCCACTTATAAAGTGTCTTGATTTCTAGAAATAATTTTGTACTTATGTGAAAGTGTAATATTCAAGAAATAACAAGTTTTTGCCAGTGTAATATATACCTGCAATTTACCACAAAGGCATGTGGAAAGAGGATCAATAGTTGCAAGTGTGGTCAGGGCTTTATTACATTTCCCTGTTCCCAAAGAAAAAGAAATAAAGATTACTAAGTTCTCCAACTTCTTTAGTATCGTATATCAATTGTACATATGGGAATTTTAACATTTACATACATACATGTACTCCCAATGAAATTTACTGCCCCCTTCTTTCTCCCTTATTACTCTTTTCCCCTTTCTAAAAACAATTTCAACAGGTTTCTTCCCCCCCCCCCCCACATTTCTTTCTTTCTAAATAGATTCATACAGCAAAAGCTAGAGAGAGCTACTCCAGCTGAGCGACAAATGGTATTTAATGAAATTCTACAGGCAGCCTATCAATTAATGACAGATGTTTTTGGGAACTATGTTATACAAAAGTTTTTTGAGGTAAGCATATGTGGGTATTGGTATATTAATCTATTTGTGCTAAGTAATATCTCTGTATCTTGGTTTTAATAGTCATTTTGTATGAAAATACATATAACTCTGAGGAAATATTTATAAATCATATATCTGATTAAGAATTTATGTCTGTAATATACAAAGAAATTCCTAAATTTTGTAACAAAAAGACACCTAGATGAAGAAGTTGAACTCCCATAGTCATAGTATGTGATGCAAATAGGCAGTGAGCAATGGGAAGACACTGGACTTTCTGTGTGTGTGTGTGTGTGTATGAACTCAGGGCTGGGGCAATGTCCATGAGCCTTTTTGTTCAAGGCTAGCACTCTTATACTTGGGCCATAGCTCCTCTTACTTTTTTTTTTTAATTTGGTAATTTATTGGAGATAAAGTCTCCGCCCAGTTTGATACTGTGCCTTTTTAATAATTAGAAAAGTATACGTCAAAACCACAGTGAGATACTTCATACCTAATAGGATGGCCACATTTTTTTTTAATGGAAATAGCTAGATGCCAGTGGCTCATGCCTATAATTCTAGCTACTCAGGAGGCTGAGATCTGAGGATCCTAGTTCACAGCCAGCCCCCAGGCAGGAAAATCTGTGAAGATCTTATCTCCAATTAACTACCAAAATAGCTCAAAGTGGAACTGTTTCAAATGATAAAGCACCAGCCTTGAATGAAAAAACTTGCAACAGTACCCAGTCCCTGAGTTCAAGCCCCAATACTGGCACAAAAAAATTAGTAAGTGAATGAGCATGAAAATACAATTGAGGAAAAATACAATTTAAGGAAATTAGAAGCTTCATCCTGTGCTGGTGTGACTATAAAACACTACTGTAGAAAATTAAACATAGTTAACAAACCCAGCATATCTACTTGAAAGTAACATGCCCAACAGAATTAAAAACAGGAACTTGGTCCCATGCCAGAGCAGACTGTGGTCCCAAACCATTGCCTGGCCTCGATCTGTCAGCTGCTGGCACTGAAGGGGGGTTGCACAGAGGAAGAAAAAAAACAAAACAGGAACTTGAACATGAGTGTTCATTGTACTGTTCATCCACAGAAAAATGAATAGATAGGCTATTCATGCCTCAAAAAGCAATACAATTCTGACACATGAATATAACATAGATGAATCTTTGAAACAGTAAACCAGATACAAAAAGAGGCCAACATTGTAAGTTTCCACCTGTTTGTAAAAGATCTACAACAACATATTCATAGATTAGGTAACATAGATTAGAGTTTACCAGAGACTGGGAGATAAGGGAAGCTGTTACTGAATAAATACAGCCTAGCTGGCTCTGTCCAATAGATACAACAGTAGATTGTGGTGATGACTTCACAAACCAATGTGGATATAATTAACACTTAAAAGTGATTTAAATGGTTGGACAAGGTATAATATGGCTGTATTGACAGCACTTAGAAGAAGGTTCAGTCAGGAGGATCATGAGTTCAGTCCAGCCTGGGATTATATAACAAATTCCAAGACTACTCCAGCTACTAGGAAGACTGCCATGTTTAAGAATAATTTTAAATGCATATTTTATGGTCTATATTACATATTAATCTATTACAGTTTTAAATGTTACATATTACTGTTAGGCACCAGTAGCTCATGCCTGTAATCCTCGCTACTCAGGACACTGAGATCTGAGGATTGCAGTTTGAAGCCAGCCCAGGCAGAAAAGTCCACGTGACTCTTATCTCCAATAAACTACTCATAAAAATTCAGAAGTGGAATTGTGGTTCAAGTGATAGAGTACTAGCCTTGAGCAAAAAAAGCTCAGGGACAGCACCAGGCCCTGACTTCAAGCCCCAGGATACCAAAAAAAAAAAGTGGAAAGTTGGAGTAAATCTTAAGTGTACATATTAATGAATATTGCTGTAGTCTTTTTTTTGAATTGTAGTTGCCTAATTTCTAGTTTCTAGGTCATCAGCCTAACTATTCCTCAAAAGATATATATTTAAATTTATATGTATCAAAAGACATAGTCACTGGTGGCTCACGCCTGTAATCCTGGCTACTCAGGAGACTAAGACAGTGCCCAGACTCCCTAGTTCAAGCCCCATAACCACCAAAAAAAAAATAAAATAAAAAACATGCATCAAAGATGGGGTTGCACCTTATTATATAGAAATGATGATATTAAAGAGGCTGTTACTTTAGAAGGTGGCTAAGCAACTATAATCCTATCTACTTTCAGGGCAGAGTCAAGTGGCAGTAGGATTAGTTGGAGGCCAGCTTGAGTACCTTAACCAGGACCTTGTCTCAGAATTTATTAAAATAAATAAATAAAACAAGGTTCAGAACTTTAGTTTCGGGGCTGGCTGGGTAGGTGGCTCAGTGGTAGAGCACTTGTCTTGCATGCCTAAGGCCCTGGGTTCGATTCCTCAACACCACATAAGCAGAAAAGGCCAGAAGTGGCACTGTGGCTCAAGTGATAGAGCGCTAGCCTTGAGCTGAAGAGCTGAGGGACAGCGCCCAGGCCCAGAGTTCAGGCCCCACGACCGGACCAAAAGAAAAAAAAAAAAGTCAATATGTAATCACTTCATGTTCATATCAATTTTTTTTCTTTCAGTTTGGGAATTTGGATCAAAAATTAGCTTTGGCTACTCGTATTCGTGGTCATGTTCTGCCTTTAGCTTTGCAGATGTATGGCTGCCGTGTTATTCAGAAAGCATTAGAGTCCATTTCTTCTGACCAGCAGGTAATTGTAAGTTAAGAAAAGAAGTTTAAACTTCCAATTTTAAACTATTACCTTTTTAACTTAAAACAATCAGATTTCTACAACAAGACTAAAATCCTTTTTTCAAAAATCTGCACATGATCCAGTGGCTCATACCTGTAATCCTAGCTACTCAGGGATCTGAGATCTCTAGGGATTGCAGTTCGAAGCCAGCCTGGACAGAAAAGTCCCTGCGAAGCTCTTATCTCCAATTAGCCACTCAAAAACTGTAAGCAAAGTTTGGCTCTAAGTGGTATAGCAACAACCTTAAGCAAAAGCGCTCAGGGACAGTGCCCAGACCCTGAGTTCAAGCCACACAACTGACCAAAAAAAAAAAAGCTCCAGCCAAGCGATGGTGGCTCACTCCTGTTAATTCTGGCTCCAGCCAAGCGGTGGTGGCTCACTCCTGTTAATTCTAGCTACTCAGGAAGCTGAGATCTGAGGATCACAGTTCAAGGCCAGCCTAAGCAGGAAAGTCTAAAGACCTTTATCTCCAGTAAGCCACCAAAGACAGGAAGTAGAGCTGTGACCCAAGTTGTAGAGCACTATCCTTGAGCAGAAAGCCTCAGGGACGTGGCTCAAGGATAGGTTTCCTGTCAAGCACACATGAGGTCCTGAGTTTAATTCCTAATAATAAAAGAACAATAATGGTGGTGGTGGAATGTGTGTGTACGTTGTGTATATGTACATTAATCATATTATGAAAAAATACAATTACTCTTCTAGAAGAAAACCTAAGTTTGGGAATAATTTGAAGGTATATCAACAATGGAGAAAAATCAAATTTGGTCATATAAAGGCTTAGAATTTCTCTGCCACAAGTTACAAAGTAGTATAGATTAAAGATAGCCTAAATGTCTTTGATATTTGAGAACATAAAGCGTTGGGCTAACTTTTAATGTATAATTGTGACGTTTATTCTTAGATTTTTTTAATTTATTTTATTTGTGAACATACTGTACAGAGGGGTTACAATTACATGGGCAGGATAATGTGTACATTTCTTACCAAGCATTGCAGCCTCCTCCTTTGTTTATCCTTCACATCCCTTCCCAGCCTCCCCCCTCCCCCCCAGTCCCAATCCTTCCCGCACCAACATTGTAAAGCTCGTTTTCGACATGACAACTTGTACTTCTCATTGTTGCAACAGGTCCACCTGTATCCTTAAACGACTTGCTTTTCCCCATCTCCTCCACAAGTTTTACTGACATCAAATATAGTGAAAGCAGGGGTTATACTGTGGGGGAGGGACATACAAAGCAACAAAGAAATAATCTTATAAATGCATTAGAAACACATGCATAAAAGAAAGAATCATTAAAATACATATCTAAGGGTTCATTTTCCTGACATCACATTAGCTGACCTTTTCCGCTTGACTCATACATTATTCTTAGATTTTTATGTTACCATGTTTTAGGCTTACATATAATTCAGTTCATTTTAGCTTAGATATGAACATCTATGGATGTTGCTGTGAGGTCCAGCTGAGCCAAGTTCAGGACTAAATGCAAACCCCAGTACCGCCAAAATATTAACAGTCACAACAGGAATCAGTCTATAACTATCTCCCATCAAACTTCTTAAATTTAGCAGAATATATTTTTGAGGGTCCTTTGGTTTTTGTCTCAGTATTTTTATTTTGTTAAATTGTTTAATGGGATGATTATTTAAATGGCATCTTCTTTGCAGAGTGAAATGGTAAAGGAATTAGATGGACATGTACTCAAATGTGTGAAAGATCAGAATGGAAACCATGTTGTTCAAAAATGTATTGAATGTGTTCAGCCACAGTCACTACAGTTCATCATTGATGCTTTCAAAGGACAAGTAAGTTTGATTTTTAGCCTCTAATTTGCTAAATATTATATAATTTAAACCTTTATTTCTTATATATAATACCCAGCACTTTCATGTAAAAATAGAAGCCAAGATAGCAAATGTGAGTTGATGTGGTGATGTAATCCCAGCACTTGGAAGGCTGAGGCAGGAAGGTGGAGAGTTTAGGTCAGCCTGAGATACATAGTGAGATTAAGACTTGGTCTTTAAAAACAAAAAGAATTTCTGTGCTTCTTCATACAACCATAGATAGATGGCTTCACTTCGCTGAAACTGAAAAATGTAGAAATAGGTGTTTTCATTCATAATAAGAAATAAAGGCAGGGCACCAGTGGCTCACACTATGTAATCCTAGCTACTCTAGAGACTGAGATCTGAGGATCGCTCTTCAAAGCCAGCCAGGGCAGGAAAGTCTGTGAGATACCTATCTCCAATAAATCACAGAAAAAACCATAAATGGTGCTATGGCTTAAGTGGTAGATAGTTAGAAGCAGCTCAGGGCCAATGCCCAGGCCCTGAGTTCAATCCCCAGGACTGGCAACACCCAAAAAAGAAGAAAGAAGGTAAAAAATAATGAGGTAATCACTGTTAGAATTTTAAACCACAATATTTTTCCAATTTCATGGGAGAAAGGGAAAGGAGAAACACTCAAAAGCTCTTAATGAAAAGACAGAACATGCAAGTTTTAATTCTTCTGTTTTAAGGTATTTGTGCTTTCAACTCATCCTTACGGCTGCAGAGTAATTCAGCGTATCCTAGAGCATTGCACCGCAGAGCAGACGTTGCCTATCTTAGAAGAGCTTCACCAACATACAGAGCAGTTGGTACAGGTATAGGTCTCTTAATAATTTGAAATGTTTGTATACTTACGGAATTGCTTTTATTTTTTTTTAAATTAACTTACTAATGTAAAAAAGCTTACCGATTTCCATGTGGATACTTATACTGATTGATTTTTAAACAACTTATTAACATGTTTTAAATAATCATTCTTAAGGAATAACTGATAGAAGTAGCTTTTAAATCTTTCCATAGGATCAGTATGGCAATTATGTTATTCAGCATGTATTGGAACATGGTCGACCTGAAGACAAGAGCAAAATTGTTGGGGAAATCAGAGGAAAGGTCTTAGCCCTGAGTCAACACAAATTTGCCAGGTATTTCTTATTCAGAGGGTTATTTCTCTCACCTCCTCATGTAGAATATTATATTGAAAGAATAACCACATATTCACAAAGTTCCAGCCACTCTAAAAACGGAGGCAGAAGAATCACTTGAGTCTACAGGTTGGAGACCAACCTGAATAAACTTAGCAAGCCCTTGTATCAACAACTTTCCAGACATCAGTGGCTCACACCTGTAATCCTAGCTACTCAAAAGGCTGAGATTTAGGAATCATGGTTCAAAGCTGGGCCTGGCACAAAAAGTCCATGAGACTTTTACCTCCAATTAACCACCAAAAAGCTGGAAATTTGAGTAAGATATTGGTTCTACCCACCTGTATTCCATTTTTGAATTTGTATTTAAGAGATAATGGTCTTTGACTAGTAAAGAAGGCTGGGAGGGGCTGGAAAGGTGGCTCAGTGGTAAAGTGCTTGCCTTGCATGCATGAGGCCCTGGGTTCGATTCCTCAGAACCACATAACCAGAAAGAGCCAGAAGTGGGGCTGATGCTCAAGTGGTAGAGTGCTAGCCTTGAGCTGAAGAGCTGAGGGACAGCGCCCAGGCCCAGAGTTCAGGCCCCACGACTGACAAAAAAAAAGAAGTCAGGGAATGTGTTTCAGTGCATGCATGAAGCCCTGGGTCAATTCCTCAGCACTACATAAACAGAAAAGGCTGGAAGTAGCGCTGTGGCTCAAGTGGTAGAGTGCTGGCTTTGAGCAAAAGCAACTCAGGGACAGTGCCCAGGACCTTCCTGAGTTCAGGTCCCAGGACTGGCATCCCCCTTCTCCCCGCACCCCCCCCCCAAAAAGAAAAAAGAACTAGGAAAGTAATACGAATACAATTAGTACATATTTTTTTAGAGTTAGACTTTATTGGTGTCCTGGTTTTACTGTTTGAATTATAATTATAAAAAGGCCATAGTTAGGGTTGTCTTCTGATAACCGTTTGGTTTTTTTTGTTTTATTTTTTGTCGGTTATGGGGCTTGAACTTGGCATAGGCCACTGTCCCTGAGCTCTTCAGCTCAAAGTGAGTGTTCTACCACTTGAGCCACAGCACCACTTCTGGTTTTCTGGTGATTAATTGGAGATAAGAGTCTCACAGACTTTCCTGCCTGGGCTGGCTTTGAACCATGTCTTCAAATCTCAGACTCCTGAGTAGCTAGGATTACAAGTGTGAGCACCAGCCCCTGGCTAAGTTGTGTTTTTTTTTGTTGTTGTTGTTTGTTTGTATATACTTTTAACTTTTAGCAATGTAGTAGAAAAATGTGTTACTCATGCCTCCCGTGCTGAGAGAGCTTTGCTGATTGATGAAGTTTGCTGCCAGAATGATGGTCCTCACAGTGCCTTATACACCATGATGAAGGACCAGTATGCCAACTATGTGGTTCAGAAGATGATCGACATGGCTGAACCTGCTCAAAGAAAGATAGTCATGCACAAGGTAAGGTGTACAGAAGACCCATTTCTTTTTCTTTTTTTCTTTTTTTTTTTTTTTTGTCGGTTGTCGGGCTTGAACTCTAGGCCTGGACGCTGTCCATCAGTTCTTGAGCTCAAGGCTAGTACTCTACTATTTTGAATCACAGCAACGCTTCCAGTTATCTGGTGGTTTATTGGAGATAAGAGTCTCAAAGACAGATACGGTCAGATAAGTTGATGTTAGGTGAAATGAACCCCAAGATAAGGATTCAGATGTTTTTTCTTTCTTGCAGTTGTTTCTAACACATGTATAAGATGATTTCTTTGTTGCTTTCTATGTCCTCCCCCATGATATAACCCCTGTTTTCACTGTATTTGATGTTGGTATACTTTGTGGAGGGGAAGGGAAAAAGCAAATTGTTTAAATTGGGATACAGGTGGACCCATTCCAACAATGAGATGCACAAGACGTTATGTGGAAAAACAAACTTTACAACTTTGGGCAGGGAAGGGGAGGAAGTGGGGCGAGGTGGAGAGAGAAGATAGGAAGGAGAAACAAAGGAGGAGGCAACAATGCTCGATAAGAAATGTACTCATGGGCTGGGAAGATGGCTCAGTGGTGGAGTGTTTGCCTTACATGCATGAGGCCCTGAGTTCGATTCCTCAGCACCACATAAGAAGAAAAAGCCGGAAGTGGCGCTGTGGCTCAAGTGGTAGAGTGCTAGAGCCTTAGCTGAAGAGCTCAGGGACGGCACCCAGGCCCAGAGTTCAGGCTCCACAACCGACAAAAAAAAAAAAAGAAAGAAATGTACTCATTACCTTGCCCATGTAATTGTAACCCCTCTGTACGATATTTTCACAATTAAAAAAAAAAGTCTCAAGACTTTCCTGCCCAGGCTGGCTTTGAACCGAGATCCTCAAATCTCAGCCTCCTGAGTAGCTAGGATTATAGGTGTGAGCCACCAGCACCCAGCTCTATGATTTTTGACTACACATTTAACTTCATAGGTGTTGATTTTCCCATATATGTTATCATTGGATTAAAAAATGAAAACTAGTTAATTTTCTTTGTCCATTTCTTAAATTAAGTTTATAATCTGTTCGATAAAACCATGTTCATTTCTCATCTGTTTATATATGGTTAAGCATTAGTTTCTCTCCCTATGTTAAAGTACAGTTATCTTGCTGTCATATATGAGTTAACATTGATTTTAGATTGTAATAAGATTTTCCCATTACAGTAATGTTAGTTCTAGAAACATCTTTTATTATCTTTAAATATTTGTATTTGTACAAGAGTTGGCATTTAACAAAACAGTTTATGAATACAATATCTTTATCAGTAGTCATCTCTTTCAACATTCTAACCAAATTTTTCCCTACCCATATCTTCCCCGCCGCCCACCTGCCCCCCCCCCCCCCCCCCCCCCCCGCCCCATCTCAAGGCTAGCGCTCTACTACTTGAGTGCCACAGCACCACTTTTAGTTTTGGTGGTTTATTGGAGATATGAGTCACACAGACTTGCCTGCCTGGGCTGTCTGTGAAGCAGATCTCAGCCTCCTGAGTAGCTAGGATTACAGGCATGGATCTTTGGCTCAAGGCTAGAATTCTACCACTTCTGGCTTTTTTTTTTCAGGGGGTTGTTAATTGGAGATGAGAGTCTCACAACTTTGCTACCCAGGCTGGTTTTGAGCTATAAGCCATAGTCTTTCAGCCTATAGTAAGGATTACAGGCAAGAGCCCCTGACATCTGAAACAGAACTGTGGCTCGTGCGCGCGTGCACACACACACACACACACAAGTATACATACACAAATTTTTGATAGGATAGATTATGTAAATCATTTTAATAAGAAAAACTAGCAGCAAAAATAAAACCTTGCTTCCATTTCCTTGAGTTCATTTTGGTAAATGTTTTTATATGATCAGATGCACATAGGCATCATGCCTTTGTGCTCTCTCCTAAGAATATCCTCCTTTGGTCTCACTGTATGAATGTCTAGAGTCCTCTATAATTTATCATGTTTTAGTGTACATTAGACCTAGCTTCTGCATATAAGAGGGACTCATTGTTTGTGTCTCTGAGCTTGGCTACCTTCTCAGTTGAAATGATTTGTTCTAGGTACATCTGTTTCTCTGCAATGGGTGTGTAAAATTCTGTTGTGTATAGGTATTACTTGTGTGTGTCTATGTCTGTGTCGATCATGGGGGTGAACACTCTACCACTTGAGCCACAGCGCCACTTCTGGCTTGTTCTTCTTATGTGGTGCTGAGGAATTGAACCCAGGGCTTTATGCATGCGAGGCAAGCACTCTACCACTGAGCCACCTTCCCAGCCCCTGTCCTGGCTTGTGATGTTCTGGGTGTGACTTACTTTAAAAGTAATGATTGGCTGGGAAGGTGGGTTCGATTCCTCACCACATAAGCAAAAAGAAGAAAGCTGGAAGTGGCGCTGTGGCTCAAGTGGTAGAGCGCTAGCCTTAAGCTGAAGAGCTGAGGGACAGCGCCCAGGCCCAGAGTTCAGACCCCCACGATCGGACCTGGATGGATGGATATAATGATTGGTGCCAGCCACCATGGCTCCTGCCTGTAATTCCTAGCTACTCAGGATGTTGAGATCTGAGGATCACAATTTAAAACCAGCCCAGGCAGGAAAGTCCAGGAAACTCCTTTCCCGTTCTCTCTTCTTCTCCCCAACCCCCCCCCCCCAGCCCATCCTTGTCCTGAACCTTGAACTCATAGCCTGGGCCCTGTCTTTAAGCCTCTTTGTGCTCAAGGCTAGCACTCTACCACTTGAGCTACAGCCCCACTTCCAGCTTTTTGTGAGTAGTTTATTGGAAATAAAGAATCTCAGATGGGCATTGGTGGCTCACGCCTGTGATTGTAGCTACTCAGGAGGATGAGATTTGAGGATACCAGTTCAAAGCCAGCCTGGTCAAGAAAGTCCGCAAGACTCTTATTACCAGTTAACCACCAGAAGAAATCCAGGAGTGGCACTGTGGCTCAACTGGTAGAGCGCTCACATTGAGCTGAAGGGCTGAGGGACAGCACCCAAGCCCATAGTTAAGCCCCATGACTGACCAAAAAAAAAAGAAATAGGAGTCTCATGGACTTTTCCTGCCTGGGCTAGCTTCGAACTGCAGTCCTCATATCTCAGCCTTCTGAGTAGCTAGGATTACAGTCATGGGCTACCTGTGCCTGGCTCAGGAGGCTCTCCAATTAGCACAAAAAAAGCTGGAAGTGGAGCTGTAGCTCAAGTGGCAAAGTGCTAGCCTAGAGCAAAAATTTGCTCAGGCATAGCACACAGGGTGAGTTCAAGTCCCAAGACTCCCTCCTTCCCCTACTTCTCCCCCTGCCCGCACCCCCCATAAAAGTAGTAATTTGTTAATTCATTGAACAACTTTTAAGTGCATACATTGGGAGAGATTGAGTGAATCAGAATTGCTTTCAGAAGAAAATAGCTTTATGTTTGAATTTTTAAATAAGCAGTCATTCCTTTGAATTGTCCAGATTTGAATGTGCTTTATAGAGAATTAAAAAACTTAAGATTTCCTAAGCAGATTGTTTATTTTACAGATTCGACCTCACATTACTACTTTGCGCAAATACACATATGGGAAGCATATACTGGCCAAGTTGGAAAAATATTATTTGAAAAATAGCCCAGACCTAGGGCCTATTGGAGGACCACCAAATGGAATGCTATAAAGGAAAACAGAAAGAAGATGGTTTAACCATGTGGAGAAAACAAAAATGGAGGTTTCGTTGTTTTTTTTTTTTTTTTTTGTGAATTATCAAAACACAACTCAACTATGGATCTTCAATTTTTTTTAAAGCAAAACTATTTATTGACTTTATTCATCCATTTGTAAATTTTTTAAGGTTCTTGTGTATATTTGGGGGGTGGGGTGGTGAACTATAAATGATACTCAGCCCTGAATGGAGACCTATCAGATTGGATTGCTGGCAAAGCACAGAAGCCTGTATATGATGTAACTGTATCAAAAAAAAAAAAAGCTGTCACATATTTTGTAAATTTTTACCTTGTAAAGTCACAAAAATAGTTTTTAAAGGAAAAAGTACAGTATTCTTTTAATAAACTGGCTTGCAGTCTGGTAGGTCTATGACCCCATAGCACAACAGGTTTATAGAGATGTATATAGAATTATAGTCCTTATTTTTTTTCCTTTGCGTGAAGCCTTTTATAACAGATTAACAATCAACTGCATAAATATTATTAATATTTTAAAAAGAAAGTTAAGTTGTATTTTGGTAATTCACAAACTATCATGCAAATAAAAACTCAGCAAGTAAGATAAAAATGATTTGAGATAAAAAGAACCTTATTTACAGTGGATGTGGTTTTAATACAGATACTGCCCTATAATGTCGCTGGCGATGTACAGAAGTATTGTATATACTTAAATATGTAATTGTGAAAGTTAGAAAAAACAAAATCATGGTGACACTTCCATTCAATAAAGTGGGCTAAATGAAAAGTTAGTTTGTATTAACTTTTCAGTTTGGTTTATAATGAGAAAGAGTAGAAATTTGTATTTTGTTTTTCCTTACAGAATTACAAATACATGTTGAGGAAGTGTTGAGCTTTATTTTGCTTTTTCATAGTAGATACAGAAAGTTAGGAACCAGTTAAGAGATGAAAAGGGGCCACTGAAAAGTCAGTTGGATAGCTCAGCAGTTAAGCATGACTACATATTCAGATAGCTTTTTTTGCTTCCTATAAATATATGCATTGTGTGTGTAGTATTAGATGTAAGTTTACACTTTGAAAGCAAATCTTGTTTCAATGTTCATTATAAAAGCCTTGCTAATTTAGTAGTGATGCTTTCCTTGGTTGTACAGGTGTACATTTTGTAAACCTTCATGCTGTAAATTGAATTTGTTTTATCTCTTTGGGAAACATTTGCATTTTAGTGTACATTTATGTCCCTGCCCTCTTTGGCCTGGCAATATAGTGTTGTATAATGTAAATTTATTTCTCCAAATCAAAAGTGATTTTTTAAAGTTTTTTATCTTTATATGGTTTCAAAAGTATGAACCAGCTTTCTTTTTATTATTGTGAGAAACATTTTGTTTCATAACATAGTCATTGACTCTTAATAATGGGCATGCTAGGATGGGTCACTTTCAATTGAAGTCAGGGTATTGTGCATAATAGAAAGTATTGGACTGATATACTTGGTAACCATGGAGGCCAATGCTTTTTCCATCTTATCAAATGTGATGTGACTTTTTTTTTCTTTGTACAGAAGAGTACTGTATTTTTGAATAGCCTACACCCAAGTAAGAGCAAATCTGTATGATAACTTTTTTTTTTCCTCTGGACATAGACGTTATAACAGTAACATGATGTACATTTACAAGCGGCCTTATGTACATTTCCCAACAATCTTTTTAAGGCAAAATTGTGACCATATGTGTATAATTAAAATCATTTTTAATCCTTTGCCTATGAAAATATTTTGGAAAAAAAACTTGCTTTGTATATTCAGTTTCTGGAAGATAAAGAAAGTGCTTTGTATTTTTGTTGAAGTCAGTATTTTGTATAAACATTTATGTTGGCCCACTTACGTTTAGTGCTAAAAAACTAAAATGAACATGCCCTCTCTGTCAGTTGAACTTGGAAGGGAATTTTTTTTAACTAGAAGTCTGCAGAAGAAAAGATATCTTCTGATCACAATATTGAATATAATGGTTTTATGACTTAATTGTTCATATCATGAACCTTAAAATAACAGCATGAAATTTGAGGTGCCAGGAATACTTCTCATGTTCTATGTTGAGTTATTCTAGTTTTCTTAACCCAACATTCCCTGGTGAGGCCATTAAATTCAGTCACCTGATCTTTCTCAGTCACTCTGGTTCATCCACATGTCCTTGTCATAGTTGCAGTCCTCCTTCACCCCCAAGTCCTTCCTCCTTAGAAAACTGCTCTTCCACTGCTTCCTGCTTTGTATTGCCAGACTTAGACTATCTTGGCCCATCTTAAGATTTCTTCCCAGTATCAGCCCACGGTTTCAGCATCAAAACTGTCCTATAAAAGTCTAATTATCCTAATTTGCCTTCATCCTTTACCTCCAGTTGGCACGGGCAGTTCCTGCTACAACTTTAGAACATCACAAGTCCTAGAGAATGTTCCATTTGGAACCCAGTCCCTCTCCTTGAGGTCTTTTCTAGCACTAACAACCCAGCCCTCCTGATCTTACCTGCATATTCTAGAGAAATACCTGTTCTTGTAGACATTTTATGGTCTGCCACTTTTTGTGCCCACCTCGGACTCCCCCTCTCCCCCTTTTAGTATGTTGGCATGGAACTTGGGTCATATTTGACATTTCAGAATAAAGAAATGTGGGCAGTCCTACTTAGGCTTTACTCTTGAGCGTCTCTTTTTAGTATGGATTGTTTCTGGACCAGCTTGTCTAAGTCCTGCCTCTTATTGGTTCAAATGAAATGTTATCTTCACTTCTTTGTATATTATGTATAAATTAGAAAATGAAAAATGTGTGAATAACATTGTATGAAATAAACCTGGTCTTGTGTTTTTCTCTAGATAAAGTATCCCTCTACACCTGAATTATTAAGATTCCCATTCAAGTTTATCACATACCTTTTCATACAGACAAGGACCTCCTTTTCATGTGAACTTGAGGCAATATTGTTTAAAGGCAAATAAAAGTGTATCTGGGCACTGCTAGTTTACATCTATCTGTAATCCTAGCTACTTAGTAAGCCTGAGGACTGAGGTTCAAAGCCAGTGTAGGCAGAAAAGTGTAAGGCTGTCCAGTTAACCAGAAAAATCTGGTCTAGAAGCATAGCGTAAGTGATTGAACACCAGCTTGAGCAAGAAAGCCAACCAAACATGTGGCCCTGAATTCAAGCTTCAGTTCTGCCTCTGCCTTTCCCAACCCTCCCCCGCCCCGCCCCCCCCATTTATTTCTGGAATTAAAATGTGCCTTCCTATTTCTAACTCTTGTGGACATGTGTATAACTTAGCTCTAGTGCCCTCATCTGTACCCTGGCTTCACATGAAGTAATTCAAAAGATACCTGAAACCTACTTCACAACCTATGTGAATTCCATCTACCCATTCCATTCCCTGTCTCATTTGACTGGGGGATGGGAGGTGGCAATACTGCGCTACCAGATATTTAGAGCCCTGGACTTGGTAGCCAAGTACTGCACTGTACCACTTGAGCCGTGTTCCCAGTTATTTGGGGAATAAGCTCTCACTTTTTCCCTGGACAAGTCTGAACAGAGGTCCTCCTACTTAGTTTCCTCATAAATGAGATGATGTGTGTGTCACCACACCCAAGTTTTTATTGGATGAGGTGGGGGTCTCACTTTTTCCCCTTGATCTTGAACTAGGATTCTCTCAATTTGGGTTATCTCTGATTTCATTTAGCAAAAGGCAGTACCACCTCTGCCATCTCCCTCACTTGCCAAACTAATTTGCCTAGACATATTTTGTCAGGAAATTCTTTTGTTTTGAAGGAGGTGGACATACTCCTAGGAGAATTGTTGACTGTCTTCTCTACCTAACCTACCAGGACTCCAGTTAGGCCTGAGCTAGGGTCTCCCCATTCCAGACATTCAGAGAAGGAGCTGTGACTTGCTGGGGAGAGCTCTGCCCTGTTCACAGAACCTGGGAACTGGAACCCTAACTCGCTCCAGGATGGCTTGTGCAGGAGCTAATTCCAGTGCCCTGTAGGCAATTTCTCTAGTTCCTTTTATGTTACAGCCATATAGAACTTGACAATTTTTTTAACTGACATTTCCCACCCAAGTATGATGCATCCAGATAAAACACACCCTCTTGATCGTACTAGTCATTTACCCTGGCCAACAGCCCCTCTTGCTGATTGATACCCACCTCCCAACAGAGCTTATTTTAGGTGGGTTTTTTTTTTTGGTTGTTTTTTAGTGTGCATTAATTGCTTCAAGGAGCTTCGCCGTGGTGTTTGCATTTAGTCAGAGAAAACCCTGCTCTTTCTCCACTACCTCAGCCCCTTACCTGATAAGCTTTCACTGAGTTTTTTTATGCCAGCTTCATACAGCTACAATGATTTAAAATTATTCATCTTTTTCCTCTTCCCTCAATTCATCCCCCTAAACAGTTCCTTAATCAGAATTGTGTGTCATGTTTTGAAGTTGACTCAGGCCCTTCATTCTGTGATTATGTCTTAGTTAAGGGTATGTCTTGAGCAAATCAGTGTTGTGCCAAGTTCAATTAAAGAGCCACCCTCAAATTGTTTTTGTTGGGGGCAGGGGCGGTGATTATTGTTCGTGGGGCTTGAAATCAAGGCCTGAACGCTGTTCCTGAGCTCTTTTTGCTCAAGGTTAGTGCTCTACCACTTGAGGCACAGGGCCACTTCTGGTGGTGGTTAATTGGAGATAGAGTCTCACAGACTTTACTGCTCAGATTTCAGTAGCTAGGATTACAGGCATGAGCCACCAGCCTCTAGCTCACTCAAATAGTGTTGTTTTTTTTTTTATTTTTTGCCAGTCATGGGGCCTGAGCTCTGGGCCTGGGCGCTGTCCCTCAGCTCTTCAGCTCAAGGCTAGCGCTCTACCACTTGCGTCACCGTGCCACTTCTGGCTTTTTCTGCTTATGTGACGCTGAGGAATCGAACCCAGGGCCTCATGCATGCAAGGCAAGCACTCTACCACTGAGCCACCTTCCCAGCCCTCAAATAGTTTTAAGTTTGGGTCTTGGCATTTGCCTGGGCAACAAAGTTGAAATGGCAGGAGCCTCCCCAAAGCAGGTACTTGAACGTCAGAAGCCGTCCTGGCGTGGAAGCAGGCTGGAAGCCAGCAGGGATCCAATTCCCCAAACACAGGACCCACCTTGGGAACAGGTGTCAGGAGATGGGAGTGCTGGCTAAGCGTTCCTCCTGGACACGGTCATCCGTGCCTTGGGGGGCGCGTTAAAGGCTGCTTGCGTCATGTGTGATTTCCAGCACAGGGCCCTGGGAGCGGGCTGGGCGCCCAGGCAGCTGTGCCAGGGTGTGCCCAGCACCTGGTTAATTAAGGCGGGGTGTGGGTGAAACAGCTGAGGCGCGGCTGTACAAGTGTCCACCGGTGGTCTGCCCCTGCACACCTCGGCCTTGTGTAAGATGAAGCGTTGATGAGCCAGGGCTGCCACTGCCCGCCCGGCCTCTCCCATCTTCCTGGCAAAGAGGGCTGAGCAGACTCTGGTCTGGGTCTGGAGAAGGATGTGAGGCTGGAGGAAGCACTCCCCGGATCTGGGGAGGATTGCAACTTCCTCTATGCAGACCTCACCCCTTCCCAGGAAGACGCATCACCCAGAGCCAGAGCCCTTCCACGCGCCCTTACGCCTCCGGCTTCGGATGGCTCATGTAAGCCGGCGGGGCGGAGCGCCCCCTGCTGGCGACAGGCTGCATCGCGCGCCTCACCGCAGCTGCTCACAGCTGGGAATCCATGCTCCTCCTCTCAGGCCTGCTAGTTGACCCAATGCCCAAGTATCCGCCTTGATCTGTTTCAGCCCAGGGATATCATGTCAAAAGCTGTACCCAAAGGCTCACACATTACCAGGTTCTCTAAATTACTTTTTTTTTTGCCAGTCCTGGGGCTTGAACTCAGGGCCTGGCCTCTGTCCCTGAAGCCTCTCTGTGTCTCAAGGCTAGCGCTCCACAGCACCACTTCCAGCTTTTTCTGTGTATGTGGTACTGAGGAATCAAACCCAGGGCTTCATGCATGCTAGGCAAGCACTCTACCACATTCCCAGCCTTCTAAATCACTTTATTGTTGTTGTTGTTGTGCCTGGGCCGTGTTCCTGAGCTCTTTTGTTCAAAGCTAGCACTCCCACTTGAGCTATGAGGCCCTTCCAGTTTTCTAGTGGTTCATTGGAGCTAAGAGACTTTCCTGCCCGGGCTGGCTTTGAAGCATCCTCCTCAGATCCTGAAGCTAGTATGATAGGCATGCACCACCAGTGTCCAGCCCTAAGTTATTCTTGAAAGACCACATTTGAGTTGAGGGTGAGCTCAGGTGACGAGCGTGCTGACTCACCATATACCTTGCCCTGGGTTCCATCCCCAGCACCAGAAAGAGACAATAGTTTTTAGTCAAAACATTATATTTGAATGAATTCTTTAGGTTGTCCTCTTAGCTTTTTTGCTCATGGCTGGCACTCTACTACCTGAGCCACAGCCTTACTTCTGGCTTCTTAGTGGTCATTGAAGCCCAGAGTCTCATAGGCTTTCCTGCTTGTCTGGCTTCGGATCCTCTTAAGTAGCTCTGATTACATGCAAGAACCACTGGCACCCAGAATTAAGAACAAAAGTAAAAACAAAACCTCCCTTATTCCCTATACATGCCAACTCTCCCCCACTCAAGCTTAAAATTAATCACTGCTACAGCTGCATTTGGAACATCCGAGGGTTTTGGTTTGTTTTTTTTTTTTTGGTGTATTTATTAGGCCATTATGAAAAGCCTAATAAATTCCACTAGGCTGAGATCATACAGGACAAATTCTCTAAGTAGAATGCAATAGAATTAGTAAGGGAGACCAAAAATACATCTTGGAAGCAGAATTCTGTCCATTAACAAAGCCTGTTATTTTTAAAACAAATACATCTGCTACTGGAAGTGTAACTTTGAATTTTATGGTTGAGGGGGAAAGATGAGGAAGAGAAAGGGTAAATTTGATGATGGTATGATTGTGCGTTATGGAATTGTCCTAAGGAATCACCTTTTTGTAAGCTTTGAATTTTTTAAAAATCCTCTCCTTTAAAGTATCTGGTTCAGGGGGTGGGGGGGGGGGGGGGGATGGGAATGGATGGGAAGGGGAAACAAAGGAGGAGGCTACAATGCTTGATAATAAATGTACTCATTACTTGCCCATGTAATTGTAACCCCTCTGTATAGTATTTTCACAATAAAAAATAAATAAAAATTTAAAAAAAGAAAAATAAATAAATAATAAAAAAAATAAAGCATCTAGTTCAAAGAACTACTCTTATCCAGAACTATGAAGGGCTAATTTCAAGCCAGGCACCAGTGGCTCATACCTGGTGATAGGCCCTGAGTTCAAGCTCCATGATCAACAAAATAAACAAATAAAACAGTGAAAGTCATATGTGCCAAAACCTGAAAGAATTAACCCAAAAACTGTTCAGAGAAAAAACGTGTAGCCGAGAAAAGCCTAAAGGATAAACTTCCTCTGTATAATACCTTAATAAATAACAATAAAGTTATTTTCTTTTTAAAGATAAATGAGGGCTGGGCGTTAGTGGCTTACATCTGTAATCTAAACTACTCAGGAGGTTGAGATCTGAGAATTGTGGTTCAAAGCCAGCCAGGAGAGTCTGGGAGGCTCTTATCTCCAATAAAACACTCAGAAAAAGCTGGGAGTGGTGCTGTGGCTCAAGCAGTAGAGTTCTACCCTTGAGCAAAAGAAGCTAAGGGATAGTGCCCCCGGCCTGTAGGCTGACCAAAATAATAAATGAACCCAAGAAAATAGCAAAATGATAATTGCCCCCCCAAAAAAATCACCAAAAAAATCGGATTTCCACTAAAAAATAATAATTAGTTAAAGATAAATCAACTGTGCTTTTTGCTTATCTAGATTTTCTTAAAGGATGGAAGATGAATATGAATAAAGGGGATATATAAGATAATATTATAAAAGCCCAGTGCCAGTAGCTCATGCCTGTAATCCTACCTATTTGGAAGCTAAGACA